TTTTCCAGACTCCCCCACTATTCGTATCTACATATCTGCTTAGATGTTCCAGTCTCTTCTAAGTTACATGTTTGAAGACATCTGTCTCTGCCTCTCACTAGCCTTCAGGTTCATATATCCAGTTGTCAAATCACCACACTTCCACACCTTGGCATATCTCACAGGCACTCAAAAATCAACGTCTAAATTTATCTACCAGTATTTCCCCAAACCTGATCTTGTTTTTGCATTTTCTATTGTCCAATGGAAAATTTGCTGTGTTTCACCATCTACCGTTTACCACATTCTGCCAGTTTTACCTCCTAAGCATTTCTTAAATCCATTGTTTTCTCACCTACTCTTACTGTTAATTCCCATTGTTTATCTGGATTACTGCAGCCTCCTAATTGGTCTTCTTTGCCTCCTAAACTCAATCTTCCTCACTTCACACAGCTACCAGAGTGCCTGGCTAAAATACAAATATCACCCTCTACTTGGCGCTTCCCACTGCCCACAATGCAAAATGTAAGCTCTCTAGCATGGTAAACAAACAATGGAATCTTGCATATTAACCTCTTTAGCCTCATCTCTCTCTGATTCTAACTTCTAACTCCAAAGTGGTTGTAATTCCCAGAGGACTCTGTGACATTGATTGAAAATGGCCTTTGCTAGTCCTGTCCACTATTCCAGGCTTGTTCTTATGCTTCTCCACATACTCCACTCCATCCTTTCTTGGGTAATTTCTATTCATACCTCATCTCCAAGAATCTTTCTCTGAAAATCAGTCTAGATGACCTCCAGTTCTGAAATTCTGTTATTCTATCCCATTGTCTTATACAAAATAATAGGACATTTTTAGGTTGAAAGAGGCAGCTTAAGTAAAGAGTTAAGATTTTAGACTCTGGAGTAAGATTGCCTGGTTCACATCCAGATCTGTACTTACTTAGCAGTGTGACTTTGGAATGATTGACTCAACCTTCCTCTACCTCGGTTTCTTCATCTATATAGAGAGAGGATTAAATGAGATAATGTGTAGACAACACTTAGCGCAGCTTCTGGACATAATAAGCACTTTATAAGAAAGTAAATGACCTTGTGTTATATTCAAGTAGGTGCTTTCCTTTATTTTCAACATGACTTCCAAATCTAACAGATCTAAAAAAAAATTGGTAGTTATGCATCTTTCATCATTGTTAGGAAATTTTTTAAAAACCTGCTTTTTTTATTGGTGAGGAAACTCTTCTGTACTTTAAAACAGGGGCGGGGAACCCTTTCTCTGCCAAGGGCCATTTGGATGTTTATACCGTCATCTGTGGGCTATCCAGAATTACCAGCTTAAAAATTAACCTGCTATATTGGATCAAACATTTAATTAACTCACCCCTAATGCCTTGCAAGACCATACCAAATGATTTTGTGGGCCTCATACAACCTTCGGGCTAGACGTTTCCCACCCCTGCTTTAAAGAGTAGCCTCTTAATACATAGACAAATAATTGAAATCATTATCATCTTGAGGTAAAAATTGCTAAGAATGAATATGTACTACAGAAATACAAGGTGTCATCATTATTTTCCTTTCTCACATAGTGTGTTGGATTGCTTATTTCCCACATCAGTAAATGGCAGTGGCTCCTGAGGATTATTGTGGCAGAGCAACAGGAGAGTCGGGACATGGCACGGATCAACACAGGTCATGTGGGCCATGCCCTCTGAGTATGTCTCCCTGTCTCTCAACATGGACAGGAAAGAATAAAAGAAAGTAGCAGGCACTGATGCGGGGTTAGGTTAGTAGATGTGGACACCTGGAGGAAAATGGCAGAATTGCCAAAGTGATTAGTGTGACTGGTGGTGTGGTATGGTAGGGTAGGGTAGGGTATAGTATGGTAGGGTAGGGTAGGGTAGGGTAGGGTCGGGTATGGTATTTGACAGCCTTGACTCTGGAGCAAGACTGCCTGGGTTTCTAGCCATTTCCAGCTGTGTGACCTTGGGTACGTTCTTTAGTCTCTCTGCCTCATAGGGTGTGGTGTGGTATGGTAGGGTAGAGTATGGTATGGTAGGGTATAGTATGGTATGGTAGGGTAGGGTAGGGTAGGGTAGGGTAGGGTAGGGTATGGTATGGTAGGGTATGGTATTTGACAGCCTTGACTCTGGAGCAAGACTGCCTGGGTTTCTAGCCATTTCCAGCTGTGTGACCTTGGGTACGTTCTTTAGTCTCTCTGCCTCAGTTTCATCCTCCCTAAAAATGCGGATAATAATAGAGTCTATGTCACAGTGTTGTTGGAAGGATTAAAGAGCCAGTATATGCAAAGCACTTAGAACAGTGCCTGTTATAGAAATGGTTGCCATTGTTATTATTGATGGTAGAGATAGTGATGGTTGACAGTGGCCAAGCAGCAGCTAGAGGCTTACTCAGAACTATACTGCATGCCAGCTATCTGATAGCTATGCTCACAGTCATCAGCCTCAAGTTTTAGATGCACTAGGAAGCAATATCACTTAAATCTTCCCTAATCGCCCATTTGTAATGTAACATTCTCTATATCCTCAATAAAGTAAAGTGCTTAAGCATAGGCTTCTGGTTAGTTACTCATGACTTAACATCACTGGGCTTCATCCTAAATTAAAGGATTTCGAAGAGCTGAGCTCTAAGGCCTCTTCCAGCTGTGAATTTGTGAATCTTCGGTTACTGGTCAATATGTATGTATTATTACCTGCACTCTAGTTTCCCCTTGAGGTTTTCTTCATTTATTATCCTTTTTAATATGGTTGTCAGCATGAGTGTTGTTTTCATGTTGAGTTGATATGTTTGTCAGCCCACATGTCTAGAATAGCAACTAGAGCTAGGCACATAAAGTTATTATTAGTATTTTTACTTTGTACTATGTATATTTTCAATTCTGAGCAAAAGTCAAAAAATTCATATAATGAACCTTCCCATAATCAACCTTCAAAATTGACAGCTCATGGCCAAGCTTTTTACATGTACCTCTTCTTTCTGCAATTATTTAGAAACCTATGCCCAGCATTATATTACTTTAATCATAAATATTTCTGTATATAGCACTAAGAATGAAATATTTTCAAAAATGCATAATCATAATACTATTGTTACATATAAAAACAATAAATACCTATCTGTGATTGAAACAGTCTTCTTCCTCCTCCTCCTCCTCCTCCTCTTCTTCTTCCTCCTTCCTCCTCCTCTTCATTTTCTTGTTTTTCCTCTTGTTCTTCTTCCTCCTGTTCTTCTTTTTTTAAGCAAACTGGTAATTCGCCACGCCTAGAATGAGGAATTAGGCATTATCATTCACTCAGCAAAATAACCATGTTTAGGTGACCCCCCCCCCAAAAAAAAGCCTAAATATTGATTAATGTACTGAAGAGAGATCTCTCTCATGAGTAATACACTGAGGATTTTGTTTCTGAAAAGTATACCCCAAACACCAGTTAAATGTGCTAGAAGCAATTTATTCAGCCTCTTAGAGAAAAGTGAGTGGAATGTCTTTTTTGAGTTGTGGTTTTCCATGTATGTGGGTAGCCCCTTTACTAATGAATTATTAAGGAAGTCTTGATTTCATTTGTGACATAGCACTTTATTTTTGATGCTCTATGGTTTAAGGTGGGTTTACTTAAGCCAGTTAAAGGATTTAAGAAGAAAAATCTTTTCATGTTTATTTATAATGAATTTCTTTCAAACCTGTAGTAATTAAACCACTTGTCCTATATACAAAATTAGGTGAAAATCAATTGGACTATTATCTTGTGTTTCTTACTTTTCAGAACCTAAGTTTTTAAATTTTTATTTAAATTCTTTAGAATTTTATAATACAAACTTTTCCTAAAATTTCTATTTGCCAAGTAGAAATACTATAAATATTTCTAATGTCATCCAGTTCTTCATATGACCTTTAGCAGTTTCTGTCTATCATTTCTTATTCTGACTCCTATTTCTTGGAAAAGATGACTGTGAAGAGTCCCTTTTCATTGATTTACAATGAAGTTTGGAAATAAGAACTTATTTCTATTACATTCCAAAATCCAACATAAAATTGCTTTTTTCTCTTTTTAATTTATTTTAATTTATTTTTAATTAAATTTTATTGTTGTGACATTGGTCAACATGAACATATAGGGGGTTTTTGTGTGTGTGTGTGTGTGTGTTTTTAATGGTTCACTAACATTTTAACAAAGAGTTGAAAGTAAATCATCATTCAACCCAAGGGAGACTTTGTATAATATAATTGGTTCTAGTACTTTTTTTAAAAATTTTAAATTCTTTATTGTTTAAAGTATTATATATGTCTCCTTTCCCCCCCATTGACCTCTCCCTGGCCATTCTCACCCCCCAGCTCATACCCTCACCCCTCTACTGTCTGTGTCATTGGTTATGCTTATATGCATGCATACAAGTCCTTTGGTTGATCTCTTATCCTCCCCCCCCAACCTGGTTCTACTACTTTTTAAAAATATAATTTTATTGATTTCAGAGAGGAAGAGAGAGATCAAAACATCAATGATGAGAGAGAATCACTGATCAGCTGCCTCCTGCATGCCCCTCACTGGGAACTGAGCCCACAACTGGGTCAATGCTTAACCAGTGCACCACACCGGCAGGGCTGGTTCTACTATTGAACCTTACTGATAGAGGAAGTTGTACACAACTGAGGTTATATGTGGCACTGTTTCCAAAATAAATAGTATATTTTTACTATGTAAGACTAAGTCCATTATAGTTGTAATGGCCATTTTAGTCATCAAATTTAAATACTACTTTGTGAGGACAAAACAGGGACTGTAGAATGAAAGAAAATGGATAATGCTTTGGCTTTATCAGAACCTGGAGGCTCCTCAGAGTAAAAGCCACTGGAATGTCTCTGTGTTTATGGTAGTTCTGCTCTGTACTCCAAATATTTGTAGCTGAGTTGATGGTGTACATTTTTGTGAGGGGCTGTTTATAGGAAGTGTACTATGTTACCTCGACAAGAGCACTTTGAAAGTTCATTGTTTTTATAAAGTTTTTTTGTATTTTTCTAGAGCTGCCCAATCTAAAAAATTACTTTCCTATACCAGCAGGTGGAAGCAAGAGCAGTCGAATTGTAGTACTGCCTTCTCCAAGTCTACTGGCGTGTTCTGTGGATCATTTACCCATGACTCAAAAGTATTTTTACGACATATCACTCACTTAACTCCTTTTCTTCAACAACTTTACTATCTTAGCACCTTCTCTTGATTACTTTATCCCCTTACTTACTTGGTGTCTAGGACAGGGTAATTTGGATTTTTATATTCTTTGATTCAGCAGTTACAACATACATGCTATGCACCAACACACTCTTCCACATTTGCCAAGAAATACAAAGGTGACTAAGACATGGACTGTGTTCTCAAAGAGCTTACAGTCCATTAGAATTAGGAGGAGAATATCTTCTTCACTTTTCCCCTGACTTGGGGGAGCAGATCACTCAGCCTTCCTAGTCCAGCTCCAACCAATCCATGGCTGGCTTTCAGTGTTCACCCAGATTTTAATTCATTCAACAAATATTTACTGAGTGCCAGGCACAATATATGAGCTTAATTGAAAAATTTATGCTGTTTTCCTTACAGATTAAAAAAAAAAAAAGACCTAATAGTCTTCAGGGGAAGTATCATTTATTTTTTTTATTGAATTTATTGGGGTGATACTGTTTAACAAAATTATACAGGTTTCAGGTGCACAATGCCACAACACATCATCTGTATATTGTATTGAGTGTTTACCACCCCAAGTCAATTCTCCTTCCATCTCCATTGATCCTCCCTATACACTCTTCTATTTCTCCCCACCCTCCAAAGTATCATTTATTTTTAAAAAAATTTTTAATACAAAGTGTATAGAGCAAGTAAGCAACTGACATATAGACCCTAAAACATTGAACTGAAGAAATTTAGAAGTAGTTAATGTAACATTTCCTGGAATACACTTAGAAGACCTCCCACAAATGCTAAATGAAATAAAAGTATGTACTCTGTCGGGGGTGCGGAACGTCCAGCCCTTGGGCTGTATAAGGCCCGAGAAATCATTTGGTCTGGCCCTGCCAAGGCATTAGGGGTGAGTTAATTAAATGTTTTGTTAAATATAGCGAGCTAACTTTTAAGTTTATAATTTTGTATGATCCAAGAATGATGTTATACATATTCAGATGGCCATTAGCAGAAAAAAGGTTCCTCACCCCCTACATCTAAATCAATTCTGTTAGCTGCTAGTAATAATAACAAATATTTAATACAAAGGATAGAAAAGAGGAAAACCAAGTTCTCAGGTTGTGTGTGTGTGTGTGTGTGTGTGTGTGTGTGTATAGACTGGGAAATGTAGAAGAACCTCCCCAAACCACACTTTCTCTGTCCTTTGGATTCCCTATCACTTTATTCATATAGAGTTTGCTCCCTAATAATCTCTATGTCTCTTCTTCTCTCTTATGGACAGCTCCTGAGGGCAATAACCATGTCACATTCATCTCTGTAATCTCAATAAATATTTACTGAAGAATGACTGAATCAACTCATTTGCCTCATAGGAAATCCCTTAATAATGAGCCTTTTTTTAAAATAAAGAACTAACATTTGACGCATATAAAGTTTTCTTAGAATGCCTCAGCTGAATCTTATCTATCAGCAATGTAGTTTATGCCCTGGCTCGTGTGACTCAGTTGGTTGAATATCGTACCATGTACTGAAAGGTCACCAGTTCAATCCCTGATCAGGGCACATCCCCAGGTGTGGGTTCAATCCCTGGTCGGGGTGCATACTGGAGGCACCTGATGGATATTTCTCACATGGATGTTTCTCTCTCCTGCTCCCTTCCTCTCTCTCTCTCAAATCATTTAAAAAAGCATATTAAAGAAATTAGGTTATGTGTTTGCCTGAGTACTTTCAGAAAGCCTTTTCAGCTTCCTAGGAGTGCACCTTTTCACATAGTTTCCTGCTTACCGGGAACAGTTAATTAATGGGCTCTGGAAAGGAATGAGACCGGGGTGCAGAGGGTAGCCATCAGGTTGTCCCAGTTTGAGTTGTTTTACTCTTTGGAAATGGGTGACTAAAAGCTGCCCAGGCCTACATGGCCTGTTTTTCAGAAAGAGCTGGATGGAAGCTAACATGGGGCACTCCTTCACGGCCCTTGGCAGCAATCCTTTAGGGAGTGGTACAGATAGCAAACCAGACAAGCCATGTCAACATGTAGTCTCTAACTGCTGTGTTTACCTCAGTTTCTCCCCATTACAAGCAGGTGGAAGACCGGGGAGGTGAATTTGTGAGAAATC